GGTTTGCAACTAGCAGAGTATTCATGTATAATACAATAAACTCCTAAATGTGTCAAACAATTTAACCATCATCGTAAGAAAAATAATGTCACATATGTCATGTAGAACATTTTAAAATATATTAATATGTAAGTGTAATGTCTATTTTTAGAAGAATAATTGATTTTGTATGTTATTTACTTAAATCTGGCAATATGTAAATCTTAAAAGTTTTTAAAATAAAAGATTTAAATTATACTTTGTATTAATTGTCTAATACAAGATCCGCATTAATAAATGTATGCATCACTTACAATACAGATTTTATTTTATAATACAATCGATGGGCCATCAAAAAATTAGCCATGAGCTGCGTGCTTGGCATGCCCTTCTTACACTAAAATATATAAAGGGTCTTCAACCTAAACTCAAAGTGAAAGATCATAATGAGTGTTAACTCATAATTTAATTTTTCCCCAATTTTATATGCTAATTATCTTTAATCTTATGCCTGTGTTTGGTAGCATTTATACATCTGAACATTATATTATATCAAAACCTAATTAATCCAAAACAAAAATTAGATTGACTAATATACTCAAAAACTAATTTTGTCAACTCTAAAAAAACCCATATAATAGCTATTATATTATTAATTTAATAATTAATAAAGAACAATTATTATGGTTTTTAATTTTTTTTTTCTGAAATTCTCATTAAGGTTGAAGACCCCAGGTCTTAAAACTTACATGACAAGTGTGGTGTGACATTAATATTCTAACAATTTCAAATCATTAACTTGATTATTAAATGGATTATTTTTTATTGAAACCTTGTAGTTAAGTGAACATACTTATACGTTGTGAGTGAGTCAGGGAAGTACAAAGTGTTTACCTACTACCCATGGTTTTGTAGATACAAATATCTACACATATTCAACGGGTGTGAAGTTGGGGGACTATAGCTAGGGGACTATTTTCTCGGACGATTAGTGATAACAGGTCTTGTGTGCAAGGTTGCGTTTTATTATATTAAAGGCACTCACCAAATGTACAACCATCAACCACAAGATGGCGCCATGAAATTCATTACTTAGTATTGTAAATAGTAATATAGTAATATATTACATAGTAATAAGCGACCGAACAGCCCAGGGGACTATTTTTTCGTACTGCCTAGGTACGATCGGGCGTGCGGTTTTTAATTTTTTTGACCAAGTTCCGGAAGGTGGCGCCGCATTAAACCTATATATTCGGAAAGCCAAGAAAATTCTATATAAGACGTTTATACTTTGAAAATGTTCAAAGCTTTCGGGGACATAGTAATAAGCGACCGAACAGCCCAGGGGACTATTTTTTCGTACTGCCTAGGTACGGGCGGGTGTGCCGTTTTTAATTTTTTACTTTTCTTTATTATCATTATGAGCCACCATAAATTGGTGGCTTCCAAAAATTGATTAATTACGAATTAAAATAGGAGTAAGTACAATTATTAATAAATTAATACTTACTCTCATTTTATCGTGATTTGTTTAAAACGCGGTACTTTATATCTTTGTATGATTCACTTCTCGTTCGAGAGGTGTTTTTTTTTTTATTATTTACATGACTTTTTAATGTTAATAGTATTGTTTTAATGTTTTTGAAATGTTTTATATGTATCTTGCTATTATATTATTTTTATTTTTCACGTCACATTGAAGAAGTTCTTTTTAAGATTATAGTATAATAACTCAGAATTTTCATCTAATGAGAGTTTTTCATGTGAGCCATATTGCGTTTTTAAATATCATTATATCTTTTGTTTTTATCATGTAATGGTCTAGAATAACAATGAAATAATCGGCAGATGGCGTCCCATGGTTCGTTTTATTAGATTAAACTATAATACTATAATATTTTCTACAATAAATTGTATTCCTTAAGAAGGTTGGTAAGTGGTTGTCGCTCTGCTGTTATTTTGGCGTACGGCGATTCGAAAAGGAACTATGGTCAATGTGTGTTCGAATTCTATTTCGTCTGTAATCAGGGTAGCAAAAAGTTAAAAAAAGCATTATGTGATTATTGGATTCAGCCATATATTTGCAGTGGCGCCGAACTATTTTTTTTTAGGTGTGGCAATGAACAATTACTTATGGTATCATGTCTTTACGCCGACGGTATCTACGCCGACTAGTATCTACGCCGACGGAAAAAATGCCGACGAGTATCTACGCCGATGGAATGTTTTTTTACAAAACGAATGTGTTTCTATGGGACTAATATAAGAATAAAAATTAACTAATATGAAACTGAAAATTTTGGAAAATTAATTATGTTATTAAATAATTAAAAATAAAATACGTAACTCGTTGTTGCCTAGTTTTTTTTAATAATAAATATTTTTTAGCTCTGAAAAGAGCCTTTTTATGTCCTAAAAAAGGACATTTTTTAAAACGACGAGTGGACCCTAAACTTGGACATTTAACAAGATTGGAATTGAAAATTATGCGCAATTCCCTGCAAATAATCGGAGGTGTCGCGATTCCCATAGTCTTTAACGATTCGTCGGTCAGTTCGATTCTAAAATTCGGTCTTGTAAGAAGTCAAAAGCAACCATGCCACTTGAATTTGTTTTAAGCCAGAAGGGCAACCAACAGTTGATCAATAAAGGTTTTGTGTATACCACGGACAAAATCAAAGAAGAAAAACACATACCCATAACTGTGTTATCGAGACACAGCATTGCGAATTAAAGAAATCGTTGAAATCTATGGGAATCGCGACACCTCCGATTATTTGCAGGGAAATGCTCATAATTTTCAATCCCAATCTTGCTAAATGGCCAAGTTTAGGGGGCACTCGTCGTTTTAAAAAATGTCCTTTTTAGGGCATAAAAAGGTTCTTTTCAGAGCCAAAAAATATTTATTATTAAAAAATCTAAGCAACGACGAGTTACGTATTTTATTTTTAATTATTTAGTAACATAATTAATTTTCCAAAATTTTCAGTTTCATATTAGTTAATTTTTATTCTTATATTAGTCCCATAGAAACACATTCGTTTTGTAAAAAAACATACCATCGGCGTATTTACTATCGGCGTAGATACTCGTCGGCATTTTTTCCGTCGGCGTAGATGCCGTCGGCGTAAATGCCGTCGGCGTAGATACCGTCGGCGTGGGTGGGGGTTGTCTGGCTGAAAATCTAGTGACCGAAAGTCTAGTGATCGAAAAAAAGTGATCGAAAAGGTATCTGGTCGAACACTTTTTTGATCGAAAAATATAATATCGAAAATGCAAATGATCGAAATGTTATGTAATCGAAATATGTCATGGTCGAAAAATATATATTTTGTGTTAATTATTTAAAAAAAAAAAACATAAATTATAATATAAAATTAATTTAAGTAGGTATTATAACGTAGAAAAAAGTAGTTATAAAATATTGAAATAATTGGTAGTTCTAGATACTAGTATAACTTATAAGTATTGGTATAAATAATATAATATAGTAAGTAATTAAAATTTAAAATTTAAAAATTTTAATATGTTATGATCGACAAATATATATTACATACAAGTAAATTAAAAATTAACTAAAGTAGGTATTATAATGTAAAAAAATGTTGTAGTAAAATATTAAAATAATTGATAGGTATAGATACTAGTATAACTTATAAGTATTAGTAAATAATATAATATGATGAGTAATTAAAAGTTTAAATTTTGAGCTATTCCTCTTAAATACTCTAATAAATCTTTGTTTTTTTTGTATATGAAATTATTTATATTTAATAATATTCCTCCATGGATGCTAGGTACAATATCAATATTCATATTTATATATAATAAAAAAAAATTAACTGTTGTTGCAAAAATATGTATAAAATACCAAAGTATATTGAACAGATGATAAACACTATTGGTAGGTACACCGTACACGTTGAACAGTCGTTAAACACTAAGTCATAGATAAGTATATAGAATAGATAGGCAACTCCCATGTTATAAAAACGAACCGTTTAACAGCGCTCCCGGTGGTTGTACGAGAAAACTAAAACAGCGCTACCATAACTATCGATGATTTTGTCTAGAAATAAAATTGTAGGTAAGGAATTTAGTAATAAAAAAAATAAATTATTTTCTTATAAGAGATCATTTTTTATTAAATAGTTATCAAACAAACAATTGTATAGTTGTATACAAATTATTTAGTATAAATATAAAATTACAATAAGAAGTAATGTATCATTAAATATATTATATATTATATAATTTATATTAATTATAATTAATATTATATATAAAATTAATATTCATATTGTAATTTAATAAATAAGGGTATTACATAAATGAATATAAGGTAAATAATAAATTTAACATTTTCATTTAGTAACAAACAAAATAAACAGATAAACATTATTTATTAAATAATGTTTTTTTTGTTTGTTATTAAATGTAACAAAATTATGCGATTTTTATAAACAATTTGATGAACTAATGTTTCTATATAAAAAATAACAAACAATTAACAACAATTCTTACAAACAGTTAACATAGCTGTAACGGACAACACATGAGGGTCACCTTAAGAGGACGCCACACCCGCATGTGTTGTCTCTGTCTTACAAATGTACAACATAGCAAAAACTCTTTTGCGAGGGACAACTTTTCTCGCACCATATTTGTTGTAGAACTACCAAATTTTCACAGCACTGAAAGAAGAACTTTATCTGTGCAATAGCGTGCTCTTTTTTTCAATAACATATATACCATACAAGTTATTTGCTTCTAAACATTTGGTTTTTTAATTTGCTTATAAAAAATGATTGGATGGTGCTATTGAAAAAAAGAGCATGCTGTTGCACAGATAAAGTTCTTCTTTAAGTGCTGTGAAAATTTGGTAGTTCTACAACAAATATGGTGCGAGAAAAGTTGTCCCTCGCAAAAGAGTTTTTGCTATGTTGTACATTTGTAAGACGGAGACAACACATGCGGGTGTGGCGTCCTCTTAACACTAAAATAAAATAAAATGATATACTTTAAATTAAGTTAAACTTTCCCTGAGTTTTTCTGGTCTTTGAGTGCTTTAAATACCATGTGTATGCCAATTTTTTAACAGGATCAGTCTCATTGTCTTGCAATTTTCTTTTTCCTAGTAGGATTCTGTTAACTTCAGTACAATAATGTTGTATCATCATTTTAACTGTAAATTTAATTATGTTCAGCCGGAAAAGATCTTTGTGTTCCGAACAATTTAATTCAAAAGGGAAAATTAATTGTTGATTTAAGGCATTAGTCAGAGTTGAATGTATATTAGGATGAAGACAGACATTTGACATTTTTTCTCCGACAAAACTTATGATTTGTTGAACTATAGAACATAATGTAGATGTTGGGTATTTTAAAGTTGGATGATTTGATTGATATTCTCGAGCAGTTATTAATGAATGATGTTCGGATACCTTTTCTGTACAAAGCTGAGTGAGGCATGTTTGACAATTTTTAAAAAAAGTTTTGTTTAATTTTTTTACTATAAATCCGGCAATGTAATTTTGAGCTTGTCCTCGAACAAAAGAAGTAGTCATTGATAAATTATGTAGTGTTGGAGGCAAATCAGCACTAATGACAATTTGGTTCTCAAAGTCAGACGTTGAAGCAATGGCACTCTCAAAAAAAATTTTGAATGATGACAAGCTTCCTTCTGTGAAGTCTTCTTCACAGTTCGATCCTGGTGAGTGGGTGGACACCAAATTATTCAAAACTAAAGTTTTGTATGCAGAAGCAAATGCATGACAATTCGGATTTTTTGAACCAATACTTCTGATTGCACCAAAGAAGCATTCTAACGGGTCCTGATTGAGATGCCGAGGAAGAAAGGAACGTATACCATTCAGATCCAACACCTTGGACAGTGTTTGAAAAGCTAAAACAAACAATTTTTAATGTTCAGTATTATAAAAATTATAAAAAAAAAGTATTGATAAAATGTCATACATCGTACATCATACATCGTCATACATACTTGTGTAACATATTTCACTTTCATTTTTGCAATTTTGTCTCGAACTATATGCTGATCGGTAAGTCGCGGTAACATCTTGCAATCTGGAACAGCACTATCCATCTTGTATAGATCTTCGAGATGTGACCATTTTGCATATTTTGTTTTGTTATCAATTGTATAAGATAAATTTTTGGTTAGTAAATTATTTCTTATACATTTCATTAAGTGCGGGACATCATATATGTGAACCAATTTCAGCCTTTGTTTATCATGTAATTCAACTTCATAAAATTCATCGTGATATTCTGAGTTGTTTTTTACATGATAAAGTCGAGTTTCATTGTTCAAAATATTTATTGCACCAACATTTGCAGTTCCCTGGTCACTAATAGTTGCTACAACACGAAGGCCTGTCAAATGAACAGCCTCAATCACCTATTTTCAAAAAAATAAAAAATAATAATAAGGTAGTAATAAATTATAAAAATACCTATCACATTAGTGAAATCAAATTACTTTTTTCAATTGACAAATAATTTCATATTGGTTTGTGGCTCCTTTGCAAAATGTGTACATAATTGGCTGTTTGAATTTCTTTTTTATTCCTCGTACCATGAAGACTAATGCGTGATCAGCAATATTTTGATTTTTACTATGTCCTGTATTCACAAACCCATCAATTTCATCGGTAACTGTGTTATAGGTCAAACCACTTGACAAACACACCTCGTCAAACAAAATTGAACAATACCTGAAACAAATATTTGTAAGTGAAATAAATAAAATAAAATCTATAATCAATTTAGCTTTTTACCTTTCTGATGGCTTGAGCTTTTGAACATTATCCTTAAGTACTTTCATCATCAATGGACATATTCCAGGTGATATTCTAACACTAGATAGAATGTTATTCAATGTCCGTTTGCTTGGCAAGGTAAAAAGTTTTGCCAACATTCGATAACATTTGGGTGAACGTTTATACAAAGATAAACTTAACATTTTTTCATCCAAATTGAATCTACGTCCTCTGCTAAACTTTTTGGTCTCTCTAACTTGAAGTTGCATGAACAATGAAGCAGCAGCAGTAGTTTTTTGTGACAGCCGTGAAACTAAATATTTATCAGCGAACTTTTCAGCATCTCTAAGTCTTGTTTTAAATAAATTATTTCGGTTCGCATTACGTCGACTTTGTTTAAGGAGCAGATTTGTAACTTTATACAATTTTTTACAATTTGGTGTCAAACGTCTGCAATTGGCAACACCAATTTGTTTCAAAACATCTAGAATAAAAACCAAAATTTAGATAAATACTCAATTGTAAAAAAAAAAACTCAATCTACAAGCAAATTGAAATCAAAATCAATTTTTTAATATTTTCTATTAAATCTGAAAACAAGAATAAATAAAAATCATAAGCACCAGTTCCAGTTTTCGGTTTTCTTGCAGTTGGTTTAGCATGCTTAACATTCAACTTTTTAGCATTTCCGGAATTAACAGCATTAGCATAAGCAGAATTACCTCGTGAATTACTAATTAAAGCATCGCTATCATCTATATAAAGCATTATTAATATAGCTGTGCACTTAATATTAATATATATTTTTAAATCTATAAAACAAGTCAATTATATACTATAGATTATAGGTGTCATACCCATTGAACCATTGTTGATGAATGAAGTTTCCAATGTCAATACTTCATCAAGAACTGATGTTTCCAATACATTGAAACCAGACATAACACTGTCATCAAGATTCATATGATCAACTAGTATAAGTAGAATAAATATTATAAAAGCATATTATGTTGAATAAGCAAGCATAAGTCAAGTTTACCAGACAAAGTTTCATTATTTAATATGGCATGTGTTTTTGCTGGTGTACTATAAACAGTATTTTCAACCGTTCCATATCCTGACATTTCTGAATCGCTCTGATGTATGGATCTTGAAGATTCAACACTAGGTTGACTAGGTTCTGAATTAGTACCACCCAGATACGTGCCTGCTACAAACAACAATAAATTATGCCATATTTCTTACAATACTTAAAAATATCAATATTTGTAGGTAGGTAGGTACCTGGTAACAGTAATGTTGGACAAGAGTTCGCATTCAGTCTCTTAGTACCAGGACTAAAACACTGTTCATCAAAATGATTATTACATATAAATTTCTTTATATAAACATCGTTTGGATCCATTTCATTCAAACCAACCAAATCAATCCATTTTTTTAATCGAACCAAGTCCGTTCTGGGATTGGGAAATCGATGAACAACAATACCTAATATAATACATGTAATGTATGTTCATTATAGAAATTAGGTTATTTTGGGTTATAAATAATAATATTGTTTATAAATTCCATTTGACAATAAATATTATAGATAAGTATAATATCTACAAAATGTCAATTTTAAATCTTACATTCACACATTATAAAGATAACTTATTTTTTTCATATACAATAAATGAAAATGGAAATACCCAGTCTTCTGTAATAATACCATAAGGAATAACTCCATTTAAAAAGCATGTTGAATAAAACATTTAAATTTTAAAGATATAAGATAATAATATAGAATGCTTGTTGAGTTGTATAACTTTTTATGAAATTATAAAATACTTACCTCTGGATTGACAGCCATATATTACGCACTTTGAAGCATTTTTAGAAAGCATCATAAAATATTATATAACAGATGTCCAATATAAGTATATAACAGTAAACAGTATATATCAATGACCAGTACCTACTCGCAAGTCACAAATCACAATACGAAATACTGTCCGGTTGGTTAATACGAATACGAAAAACGAAATACGCACAATACGAAATAAGTACAAGACGAAATACACAGTAACACGAATGTCGGAGTCGGAATTTGTCGGATAAATTACGCGAAAAAAAAAACCGTTGCTGTCTGTCGGCGAGCGGCATAGATAAGAATAATTAATATGGCGAGTGGAGACCGGTGTTCTGCCACGACATGCAGCGCTAATGGTGGTTGTACGATACAACTATACGGTACAAAACGATCCAATGGAGTTGCACTAACCTGCACTAAGTACCTACTATACGATATACCTTCATATGGGCTAGGCACATCTATAAAAATGCTAGATAAAGCAATCGAAAAGATAATCATTATCTTTACTTCGACCAAAAAACCCATTCGACCACAAAATATTTCGACTATATTAATAAAATATTCGATCATCTGTTTTTCGACCAAAAAAAGATTCGATCACATGACATTTCGATCGCTTTTTTTCGATCACTAAACCTTCGACCAAATGGCCTTCTACCAAATGACTCGCACCGGTCGGCGTAGATACCGTCGGCGTCGATGCTATCGGCGTCGATGCTATCGGCGTTGATACCGTCGGCGTAAAGACATGGAACCATTTGCGAAAAAAACCGTGGCTTAGTTTTAATGTGCACCACATGATTTTTGTTAAACGAATTTAATATTTTATAATATCACCAACCTAATAATGCAGATCAATTGTTTTTTTCAACATCCTTTATTTGTTTTTATTTATTAACTTTAGAATGAGTACGTTCAACTTCAGCGGGACCTATACGATATACATCGGCAGAGAGGAAGACCGCGCCCGACGTAAGCATACATTTGGTTAATAATTGAAATTAGAAACGATTAAAATATTATATCTCCCCGTTTTAGAATGTTACAACTGTGGGGAAAGCGGCCACCTCTCCCGGGATTGCGGTGAGTGTTTCCTTTACATATTCCTCAATAACAGTCTTAATATTATGTATATAATTGTAATTTATATTGTAGCCAAGTCCAGAGGTGTAGTTAGTGGCGGCGGCGGCGGTGGCGAGGAGGTGGTGGTGGCGGCGGCGGCGGCAGTGGTCGTGATGGTGGCAGGCGGCGAGGAGGTGGTGGCGGCGGCGGCAGTGGTCGTGATGGCTCAAGGCGTCGATGAGGTGGCAGTGGTAGGGGAGGTGGCAGTGCTAAGCCCCTCTCCAGATCCCGCTCCCCAACATCACGGCCATCGTCAAACGTAAGGATATATATTTATATTTAAAAATAAATCTAATTACATTTCTATACAAATCTAACTAAATGAACAATTTTCAGGAGGTCAATCGGTCGCGAAGCCGAGCGTCCACCGCTCCACCGTCCAACGACGTAAGTATGTATTAGTATTAGTGTTTGAAAATTTCATGAAATTTAAAAAAATGAAATATTTCGTGAAATAATAATATGTGAAATATTTCAGTATTTTAATATATTTGGTTTTATTTTTAAATAAGTTTTATATTTACATATAATTGTCATAAATTACCTTCATCACTATATGGTACCTGTATGTGTACCTAACCTTTGGTATTATACATTTAAACTGATATTCAAAATTTTTAAATATTTTAATGTTTAATTGATACAAGTAGGTATACAATATTATACATGTATATTGTATACTTACTGAATTCTGACATTAGAATTTAGAACACTGAACATTGTGTTAAAAAAATAAATAAATTGTGTTTTTATTTGTGTTAAAAAAAATTTCAATGTTTCACGTTTTATAAATCTCATACTTCAAACACTAATTAGTATACTCTTTAAAGATAATTTAGTAAAAAATTTAAAAAAATAATCTAGTTTTCGAAATTGATAAATCTAATTAAACGAATTATTTTCAGGAGCAGCTGTTGTACGTGACGGCCAGCCAGTCGCCACCGGCAAATGTAAGGATATATTTATATAATATTTAAGTGTTTGATATTGATAATTCTAATTGAACACATCATTTTCAGGAAATAATCAGTGATGCCTCCTACATGGCCGGGGCAATGAGATGTAAGGATATAATATAAATACTTAAGTTTTTGAATTTAATAATTCTAATCAAACATATTATTTTCAGGTTCTGAGAGCAGAATCGCAAAATCAATGTAAGTTTTTAACAGGAATATTTTTTTCTCAACAAACAATTTTCTACGTTTATTCGTTATGTTTTTTTTTTCAGATGATCAATAAAATAATGGGATAAAAAACATGACTATTTCATTTACAATTATATTTTCTTTTCCTTTTCCTTTCCAACTGGATAGTTTTTAATTACTATAATATGTGTACTGCGCGTACGGTATGAATGATTTTTTAAATTTCTATTAGTTACCAATACATATAGTTCATACTATTGCAACACAATAATTTATATGTGTGGTGTGTGGATCAAATAGGATAATAGTAATAAGGGTTCTAAGGATGTCAGTGAAATTAATTACCTACCTAGGTAGGTATTGCATAGAATGTCTAAAGTATGTAACAAATAAATAAATACGTCATCAAAAGATTTTAGAATTAATAGACTACAATGACTAAAACAAATACAACCTCAATTATTGTAAAAATATTGACTTATAATATAAAATAAATTACACAACTATTAAATATTGTTTTAACTTTTTTACATAAGAATACCTATGATATTATAATAAGTATTAAAAATAGTTAACAGCAATTTGTACAGTGGCATTACTTCACTAAAATAAATAAATTAGCAATCTACTATAATAGTCACTATAATATTGAATGGTACCTACATGAAAAAGTTTGACGTAAAAAAGTAAATAATATATGTGTTTCCGTCTCATCTGAGAGTTACTATTATTCACAGCAATGACCACAAAGTGACAAAAGAAATTATATCCATTCACGGTGACGTAGTATGTAGAAACACACTTCATAATATTATAATTGTTAGATAATAAAATAGTGTCATCAATGGTGTCATAATATTATGCGAAACATTAATAATAATAAGAAAAAAATTAATCAACAGCAATTCGCAACTAACAAAATGTTGTATTACACATTACAATGTATTACCTATTAGATTAGATTAGATATAAAACGAAAAAGAAAGGAACACAGCTATTAAATGGTGTTTATACAAAAAATATCTACAACAGCCGTTCGAACACTGCCATAAAAATTTAAATAACATAATAATATGCAGTATCTTATCATTTATACACCTAGTACCTATCTACGCATTGTCATTAAGATATGCACTGTATGAATGGCTTTTTAAATCCTTATTAGTTATTCCTACTATTACGGTTAAATGTTGTGCTTACAGCATTTGTTGTCAAAACAAAGTATTTAATTTAAACGTTGAGTAATTTACTCTTTTTGAGGGGATCCATTCCCTGACCCAAGAAATGTGTGTGAATTTTAATAAATCGTCATTGAACAAATGCACCATGATTATGTCGTTAAAATCAATTGTATGTTTTTACAAATTATTTATTCTTATGATATTCACTTAATTAAGAACCAATGGCACTCTTCAGTGGCACAAAGACACAAAACAAATATTGTCAATGTAAATATAATTAAATTTAATGAATTACAATTTATATACACATCAGTAGTAATAATCTAAAATACAACTATTAAATGGTGTTTAACAAAAAAACATTACTTTTACTGAACAAAACAATTACTACAATGTCAATTATATAAATATTGTAATAATTACATTTATAATATAATTAGAATAAAACGAAGAAGAAAATGGTGTTTAACAAAAAACTTATACTCTATTAGGGAATAGTGAGTAAAACAATTAATACAAATATGTCGATTATTATAATATACAATAATAATTATATGTGAAGATTTATATATTTAGTAATCTAAACGATCTCTCAACCATTAATACAATATAAATTAATCAAGTAGTTCAGCGATACAAAGTGTACAAAATATTAGG